GATAATTCTGTACGATGAATCGAGTGTATTTTTCGTTGCTTTTAATAGTGCAATTAATTGCTAATTTGTGCGCTAATGAAAACAACTTCATCCGTGATTACTTTGCATTCAGAAAAGTGGAAAGAATCGTTGGATTTTCTTGCGACAACATGGAAAGTGCGTAGCGAAAGGTTTTCTATAAAGGTTCTTTTTAATTAAACACACAGGATCTTATCTTTATTTCGTTAAAAACAGATAATTTTAAACTCGCAAAAACCTTCAACAATATGTACACCACGTATATTTCAATATTGAACTCTACGGATGAATCGCGATTAGATATGAAAAAAGTTTTAAGAGCGGAGTACAATTGGTTGGGCGTTTTTTTGGATTCTCGATGCGATCGTAAGAGACATACTAAAGTCCTTGTGGAAGTAAGTAATTTATACTCGGAATTTTTTCTTACTTCCATAAATGTCTGAAATATTAATATCATTATATTACTGTCCTAAATCTATTCTTGATCTTTTCTTTTCCTTTTTAAATATACCTAGTTATTTAAGAATTGTTATACCTAAAAATAATTTACATATTCATAAGAATTCAAAGGTTTAATCGCATTAAATTGTTCTAAGAAAGGGGAATTATTGTACCACTAAAGTCTTAATCTCACATGTATTGAATCATTTTCTATTTTTGTTCTAATCTCACAAGTATCAAACATTAAAATAAAGTGCATAATATCTATTGCACATAGGCAACTAAATATTCTATGTACGATGAAATGCACAAATGGTTAATTTTGGGTTCGAACCTGACCCATGTATTGGAAATATTAAACGATGACGCGTTCACTATCTCTACCGATGTTATAATTGCTGTGCCATCAGCGAACAACTATATTTTATACGATGTGTATAATCCTTGCAAAGATCGAGGAGGATCGATGAATGTAACGCGCTTTGGAACGTGGAGCAATAAAACTGGATTAAACGTTACCTTAAATGAATCGAAATTCGAAAGAAGATCGAATTTGCACGGGATGAAACTCAAAGTTGGGATCGTTGTAAGTTGTGCCAGTTCTTTCTATGATCATTATCCGATTAATATAATTAATGAAATTAGAATTTTATATATGGTATACTTCGACAGATAGAATAGTCATTAAAGTAATCTATAAACTAAGAAATTTACAGATCGGTTTTAAACCAGAAAACATGACTTTTCACGAGATGATGCTACAATATAGCATGAAGTCAAAATATGGGCGATCGAAATTTCTCTACGTATTGTTACAACATTTGTCCGACATCTTCAATTTCACGTAAAAATTATATTGAATTCGACAAATTTATAAATTCTATTAGCAGCACAGTTTCCTTTCAACCGTATTAAATATGTGTTCTACGCACTTTAAAGACAACCGCTAAATATTAATCTGTGATTCTTTTCAAACAAAAGAATTTTTATTCATTCGTTGGTTTCTACTTTGCAGTATGGAGATCGTGCAAATAAATGCGCAAAGAAGATTCGATAATTCCGGACCTGTTTTCGCGGCTTTCAAAGAGAAACTCATAGACCTCTCGGCAAGTCCAGTGGCGATGAGGATCGGCAGATTAGATAACGGAGACATAATCGGACCGGTCTGGCCAATACGGTACATTACTACTTGCTTCTTCATACTTCTTCATACCGTTTAGTGTGTCTTGTATCTTATATGTATTCATAATGTTCTCAGAAATAGTATTTCAATGAACATGAATAATCGTCTAAGGTACAAGAATTCCTGTTGTTCTTCTTTCTTTCTTTTTTTCTGTAATTTGATCGTATCGTAATTTCACTATTCTAATCTTCTCTTCTAAATTCGCATTAATTGTATCTCATTGTCGTAGGTCGTGTTTTATGTTTCGCACGATATCATCGACGAAAATTAAACCAGGACAATTTCTGAAACCCTTGTCTGTGAAAGTATGGTATGTGATACTGGCCATGATAGGAATCGTGACAACAATTCTAGTTATCTTACTAAGATTAGAAGGCGTGCAAACTCCTACAGAGATTTATGGCCTCTCTGTTTTGCTCACAATAGGAGCTTTGTCCCAACAAGGTATATCATGAAAGAAGATGTTTTTGGATTTTTTTGACACGACATTTTCTCATTCAGGCTCTGCGTTCGTTCCAACACGTTGCGCAAGTCGTATAGCATTCCTACAAATCTTGTTCGTCGGTTTATTAATTTTGAATTATTATTCGGCGAGTGTCGTATCGAATCGTTTGAAAAACAGAGGCGAGAAGATGAACGATTCTTTGATTAGTTTGGCAAAGAGCAATATGAAACTTGCGGTGCAGCCTACGTCGTATATTCGCTCCTTTCTTCGGGTAATACCTCTTATGCAGCTACATATTTAAAAACAAAATATTTCGAAATAAAATAAAATAAATAATATAATCTTTTAATAATTCATTTTCATGAACATAATTTTGGAATAAAATGTAACTCTCCAGGACGAATACAGTTTAATATTACAAATAATATATACATATAATAGAACAAATTTTTATTGAAAAAGACTTCATATTTAAAAAATTTTCTTCAATATTACAATTTTTATGCCATAGGTGCCAGACAAAGAAGTAAGATATTTTTATGACAATCGGTGGTCGAAAATACCAGAGTCGGATAGATATTTATCACTAGAAGAAGGACTTAATCGCGTGGCGGAGGGTCATTTAGCCTATCACACGATGATCGATTCAGCTTATCCTTACATCGAACAGTCGTTCACTCGCCGAAGTATCTGCGAACTTACGGAGGTTCATCTGTTGCGTGCTGTTCTCGCATTTTATGCCAGGCATCACAGCCCTTTTACTGAACTGATGAAAGTAGGGTACGAAAGTCAATATACATGTAAATGTAGATCGACCTATTGCAGGTATTTCGAAACGATTCGAAAGCATCAATCGAGAGAACATGAAATTAATTAGAAAGTCGAGAAGATCAGAGTATTTAGAAATCAATTGAAATTACGTTTTATGCATAATTTCTGTAACAAATGTAAAACTCGAACGAAGATCGAACGAAAGATCTTTTGAAGATACGTATGTTACTTTTTTTAGCTTGATTAAAATTCAAAACGTTGGCATTCAGAAACGCGAATTGAAGCGATGGGCGGCTAGAAAACCATTTTGTCCGATCAACCTACTTATCGCCGAACCTCTATCGATTCACGAAGCTGCACCGATTTTCATGTTCTTGTGTATCTCACTGGTTCTATCGATTCTCATTTGCATCGTTGAGAATATCGTCTTCTGTCTTTTCCCAGCACGGTAAATTACAAATTTAATTTAAGAGAATTTAATATACGAAACGTATACTATATACGTATTAAATTCTCAATTTTTGTACAATAAGTAACATTAATTAATTAGTTAATATTATTCTATCTATGTAGGATGGTATAAAAACTATTCAAAATAATCTTTTTTAGACTTCCAAGTTTCATGATGGGAAAGAAACGCTTGATCGACTGGACTTCGCCTCTGCTATATTTACGAAACGTGAATCAGTCTCTGAGAAACTTTTTTAGTAAATGGAGCCCTTTTCAAAATCCCTAAAGCTTACCCATTGCCGCGATATAATTGCCATAAGCGCGAATTTGCCGATTAGTCGCTAGAACAACTACGAAGGATTCTCTACCAATTATTATAGATAACACATACGGTATTTTATTACATTTAATTATTAGATTTTCTCAAACATATAAAACCTTGATCACGCGTAGTTTCCTCAAAATATTAAAGCAAAATATACATTTAAATATGGCCAGATCTTGAATTAATTATCGATATTGATTACGGTAGCTTGTTTACTATTATCTTCAATCGCGTAATTAATTTTTAAATCCGTTGCCTTTCCTGTTCTCTTCCAATACGATACCATTAATATCTAGCTTGTCGTGAAATTCATATTTTAGGCAGCCTTTGACAGGAAATGAATAAAACACCGCGACACAGATGAATAATAATAATGCAAGTAATAATGCGGTCGATCTGTAACCAGGAATTCGATCAATAGCGAGACTTAGCTTGTTTCCATTGGAACTGTCGCGTTGCGAATGGACGTTCGAATGAATGATTGATTAATCGAGCTGTATGCATTCCTTTTCGTGACTCGAGCAATTTGCCAAATTACACGAAATCGTTCGACAAGCTTGTCTTTCAGCGGAATCCCAAATGATACGTCCTGCATTATTATTATTAATATTATTATCATCATTATAATGTCATGCAAAAGTAATATTATAAAATAACGTAATAGAAAGGCAGGCGATGTCGAACGATTCGATGTGATCAGTGTTAATATTCGAACAGAATTCTTGGTTCGAGAAAAGAATAGTATAATGTATACCGTCTTGTTCCTTTTATTGCAATTCGTTTTAATTTCGAACGCGCAGGATCATATATTCATCCGAGATTATTTTGTGTATAAAAAAGTACGAAATGTCGTAGGATTTTCTTGTGGCGATATTGTAGGTAAGCAACTCTTTCGTTGATTATTTGGAAATATGATATACTTAGCGCATTTGATATTAAAGTGTCATAAAACATCTAAAATACTGAACTGATAAATATATATGAAATAAATTAGTATTATCACTCTCAGTTTTCTTAGAAGCTTATAAACGGCGATTCATATATTGACGAATTATATAAATGGAATTATTTTCCAATACAACGTAATGTAAATGTGAAAATTCTCTGTTTGGAGAAAATGATTGTTCGAAGAAATGTAGTATCTAGGCAAATTCATATAACAGTGCGATATATAGGTGACTTCAATCTTCTGAAAACGCTAAGCACCACTGGCATATTTACGATAATAAGAGAACCCAGCGTGAAAATCGACTTCCGTAGGTTTATGAGAAGCGAAACTTGGACAGTAGGTGTCGTAATCGATTTGCGTTGTCGCAATGAGACCGCCGTACGAATTTTCGCTGAAGTAAGAGAAACTTCGTTTTTCACGATTATAACGATGATCGTTTGACAATGAATATCAATTGATTTTTATTTGAATTCAGAGCTCGAAATATCGAATGTACGATTACTCGTACAATTGGCTAGTGTTGGGCTCGCATTACAATAACAGTATTCCTTTCTTGAACGATACTGCTTATAACATAGTAACTGATGTTGTTCTTGCTATAACGAACAAAAATGGCTATGATCTGTACGATGTTTTTAATCACTGCAAATATCGTGGTGGTGCGTTAAACGTTACCGAGCTTGGTACCTGGCATCGTGAGTCTGGATTGAAAGTTTTCTTAACGCAACCATTAATTAGTAGAAGGGCCAACATGCACGGCATGAGATTAAAAATATCTGGTGTGGTGAGTCCATTTATCGATTCCTGTAGACTTTTACATTTTCTCCTGGATTTTTTTTCAATGCCAAACTTGCTTAATTTGCGAATGTTCTTTATCAGTTGTAAACGATAGTTTACACATTTTTCGGACGGTTTTTTAAAGAAAATACAATGCACTAAAATTTTTAATTAATCGGAAACAAATACATTTATCGCGTAGTTATTAATATTGAGCGTAGAAGGGCTGTACAAGGAAGCAACATTAACAGTTTATCAAACGTTAATTAACGCTAGTTGAGATCAATAATTATGTGTTATCTCGAATTATATTATGCGTAGATTCAATACAGACCAAAAAATATGCGTCTCGAGGATTACATGCAAGACATAAATACGAGATCGTTGGATAGTATGCATAAATTTGTACACGCTATGATTTTGCATACAGGAGATCTTTTTAATTTCAGGTATTATATTCGATACTAATCGTTCGTTGACGCAGCGAATTTTATCTTTACTTCTTTTTTTTTTTTTTTAGCGTCCATGCCTCGGAAATAATTTATTGGGACCGACACAGCGTGCATGGTTTGATTTTCGAATTCTTACGGTCGAATTACATCGATTTCGCTAGTAATCCAAGAATTATGGTGTCTGAACGATTGGATTACGCTACTCTAATCGGCGCAGCATGGCCAATTAGGTGAGACAATACCCGACATGTTAACTAAAGGCGATAAATAAATTATACCCGATATGTATATTTTCTATTAATTGTATCAGATATAGTGAATAGTATGGTAAATGTGTCGTCAATAGCGATATATAAATTACGAAAATCTTATAACTTAAATTACCTACAAAAACTTGCTTAGTCCCTCTCCGTTTAATGTCTACAACCCGAGAAATGTTCGATGATACCTAACAGAAGAATTATATCTCTGGCCAGACCCTGTTTCATGCTGCTATCGACTTCAACGAATAAGATCAAATTAGAAATCTTTTTGAAACCCTTCACACGGCAAACGTGGTACGTGTTTGCTGTTTTCGGATTATTTTCCGTATTCGTTATGAAGATGATAATGAATCGCGAAGATATTGGCAAGAGAGAAAAATATTCAGGAGCGGTGGTGCTGTCGATAGGAATCGTGTCTCAACAAGGTGCATATGAAAGATATCAATCGGAAGTTAAATTATCAAATACGTGCTAAGATCAAGATCTATTAAAACTATTTGAAATTTCGATAGGTGCAAATTTTTTACCGAAACGTTTACCAAGCCGTATAGCGTTATTTCAAATAATTATACATAGCTGGATAATGTACAATTATTACTCTGCCAGTATTGTCTCGGCTCGATTGAGCGAACCCCTTGATATGATGGAAGATTCTGTAACTGTTCTTGCTGATAGTAATCTAAAAATTGCTGCGGAAGCCGTACCATATCTAAACTACTTTTTATACGTAAGTTTAATTACTACGTTTAAGTAAAAAATTAATTTGTCACAAATTGAAACTTCGAATTAAATCTGACAATGTTTTCTGGCTCTAAAATTCTATGTAATCAAAGAATCCTTTAAAGTGATAGGAAACATTGTTTAAGGCAAATGAAATCAATATTACGATATTAATGATATTATCAACAGAAACTGAACTGGGAATCGGATTATTTTCGCAAGAAACGCTGGGATCCTCTGCCAGAATCAAAACGATATCTCCCAATAGAAGAGGGTATCAGACAAGTCGGTCAAGGAATTTTAGCGTATCATACAGATCCTAATACAGCTTACCCTTACGTCGAAAGAATGTTCGATTCAAATAAAATCTGCGAATTGACGGAGATTCATTTGTTCAAACAATCGGTGATGGGAATGTACGCCAGTCACAATGGACAGTTCATTGAGATAGCAAAAATTGGGTGAATAATCGTAGCATATATTTCTTTCATTTAATAATTAGATTATGCGTGTGTATGTGCGAATTTTCATGTATTTATCAAGCACTCAATTTATTTCATTTTGCCCATTTTGGTTTCAACGTATAAAGCATATTCTTTATATTCTAATATAATTTAATTATGGAAATACGTCAATGTTGCTAAACTGTTAGTTACACAAATACAAAAATACATTCGAATCTCTGCTTGATTTTCATTTTTACTAAATGTTTTGTCTTCATAAAAATATAAATTTCCATAGACATTCGTCGACTGTTAATGACTATCTTTACTTAATATTTTAAAACTAACTTACTTGTCTTTTCTTTAGGTTGACAAAGATGTTTAATACTGGCCTTCGTAATCGGCAAATCAAACATTGGTCATCGAGGAAGCCACAGTGTCAACCCGACACTTTGTCCACAAGGAGCATCACGATCTACGAAACTGCTCCAGCTTTGATTTTATTGGCATTCGGAATGCTCGTAGCTGGAATCATTTGCATCGTGGAAAATATTATTTACAATCATACGATGAAGTGAGTTATTTCACTTTGTGCACGATCGTAAATATGGAAATAAAAATTCACTTTATACTTCATAGGAGTATGGAGAAAAGTGCACGAAAGAGAAGCGAAGCGAAAGGAAGTTTCAGCAGTAGCAACAGCAGACGTAACTTATTAGATATAAATCCATAATATTCTTATTGGTTTTTGATTCGATAAAAAAGTAGGATTTCGATTAGTAAGCTAATTAACTTATAAAATTAAATTGATATTTCTTAATTTATTTATTTATTTATTTCTTATAACTTATAAAATTAACTTAATAATTAATATAAATTAAATTAATAAATTCAATTAACTTATAAAATTAAAAACTGAAATAAAAGAACTAGTTATATGATGTATATATTTGTTTGCAAGGGATCAACATTCTTTCTGACATAGAAATTGTAAATTTTGAAATATAAGTAAAATTAGTCGATTGACTATTGATCTGATATAGTCATTATCGGATATTACTAGACTACTATGCTATAAAACAGTTCAGAATCACGAGCGGTTTCGTTTTCTAAAGAGCCATCACATCAAACCTGACATGTTTTCTCATGAAAAATAGAAGAACGGAAAGGAAGGACTGCCAGGGACTGTAGCACGAATACTCTACTTGTAGTCGTTCGATTTGCAATCGTGAATAAAGGCTAACAACAGTAGTGTCATGCGCTTTTACAATTTCTTTTATTTACAGTTAATCGTTGCACTGTACGCAAGTAAAATGGATATGATTCGTGATTATTTCGTTTTTAAGAATGTTCGTAGAGTGGCTGGATTTTCCTGCGGAGAGATCGAAAGTAGGTAGTTTTCATTCTGCGAAGCAAGTTTCTCAATTTTTTTAAAATAAAATAGTATTTTTAAAAGAGCGAACATTAAATAAAAGATATTTCAAAGGTATCGTTTTAAATATTATTACATTCTCAGATTTTTCTTAATTTAAAATTATTTTTACATTCAGAAAATTGAAATTATCGATTGAAAAATATTTTTTGGTCGAAGAAAATTTCGTGACAATTCATACACATAATTAAACAACAATTTCATTACGTATTATTTTATACACATTCGTATATTTTCGTTCCATTTTTAAAATTACACCGTATATAATAAATATTTACATGCAGATGATTATCAGATCGTTAAACTTCTCAATGATGCTGGGATTGGGGTGTCCATAAATCAATTTGCATCGACAATCGATATATCCCGATTTTTGCACAGTATTTATTGGAATTTAGGTATATTCTTGGACCTACAGTGCTCAATCGCGGACAAAGATGTAATGGAACTTTTCTACGAGGTATTATATTGCTTAAATAATGTTACACTTCTTACATTTGATGATTGATACACAAAAATTACTATTTAGACCTCGACCCATTACATGTTTGATCATTTGCATCAATGGTTGATCGTGGGAGAAAATATGAGCCATACTGTCAACTTATTAAACGACAGTACATTTAGTATCATCACGGATATCGCGATTGCTATACCAAGGGATGATGAGTACATTTTATATGACGTATATAATCATTGCAAATCTTGCGGTGGTTTGTTAAATGTCACGGAACTTGGTACCTGGTCTAGGAACGATGGATTACAGATTACTCTGCGGTCAAATAAATTTTCCAGAAGATGGAATTATCATAGGATGAAGATCAAGATTGCTGGTCTTGTAAGTTGAAATAAATATATCTAAAAAAATGACATTGTTTAGATAGTAAGATATTAATTTTATAAAATTAATATAAATTAAACTCTTAAAGAATTAAACTGAAGCAATATAACATTTACATTTAGAAATTCATTGTTTAAAATATTTGTTTAGATCCATTTACCTTAGTGATACTTTTATACATAGGTAACAGTTAAACCTAAGGATCAAGATTTGGTGGAATATCTACGAGAAAAGAATGATATACGCATGGACAATTGGTCTAAGTTTGGATTTGCTATCATGGAACACGTTCGAGATCAATTCAATTTCACGTAATTTTTCAACATTTTCAGATTATATAATGTTATGATTTTATGCAATATTATGGTTTTCTTTTTTAGCTTTGAGGTGATAAAACTGGATCATTGGAGCAAAAATGATAGCAGTTTTGGACCATTGATAGCTGGCCTTCACAATGACATCTATCACATGGGATATTTTCCATCGATTTTGACTATCGAAAGACTCAATTATGCAAATGTAATTACGCAAGTTTGGCCCGCAAGGTACTATAGCAATCGACTATACTTTTTATACATACATATATTTTTCAAGTCAAGTTATGAAAATATACATTGAGCATTATAAACATATTTAATCAATAATATTCAATATATGAAAGTATAAAATAATTCTTTAAATATGTTTTACAGAACCTGCTTTATGTTTCTTACTGTACCTTCGTCAAAAGTGGACATGAACCTAATCTTCAGACCATTCTCACGAAATGTTTGGTACATGATCCTTTTATTAATAATCGTCATAATTTTCGCTATGTGGATAATTTTTAAACTCGAAAAAGATGCTATTTACTCTGACTATGGGTCCACAGTTCTCATTATTGCCGCTGCATTAAGTCAACAGGGTCTGTTAATAAAAAATTTGTTATAAATCGTATAACATTGTTCGTATAATAATGTTCATTTATTAAAATGGAATAAAAAATGGAACTTATATTTTAATTACAGGATTACCATTTATTAGCAATCAATCTTCTAGTCGTGTTGCTTTTTTTCATACAATGATCTTTGGTCTACTTGTATATAACTATTACTCAGCAGCAATAGTATCCAGCCGGCTGAATGCACCATTAGATAAAATGAACGATTCATTGTATTCATTAGTAAAAAGTAAAATGAGTCTTGCAGCGTTTAAGGATATATATTTCAGTGTTTTGTTGCAAGTGAGTTTTAATTTTGCATGCTATCGAAAACAAACTTTTGTTTGTAATTTCGTTTCTATCATACGGATAGTTAAATATTAATTATTCATAACCGGAAAAATGTTTCTAGTCTTCTGCGGAAGATGTTCAATATTTTCAGAAACACTGGGAAACTATACCACAAAAGAAAAGATTTCTTTCGATAGAGGATGGTGTGGAAAAAATGAAGAACTTAAGATTTGCTTATCACGCGGTGCCCGATAACGTTTATCCATTTATAGATCGTAATTTTGATAAAGAAATGATTTGTCAGCTTACCGAAGTACATTTACTTCGTCCTTGTTCGTTAGGTTTATGGTCAACTCAACATAGTCCGTTTCAAGAAATAACGAAAATAGGGTAAGAAAACTTCATAAGAATAAGTCCACAAAAGTTACATGTAGTATATATTTTTCTAAACGGTTTAGTAATTATATAATTGTTGTAGTATTCTTAAGATATCCACTTCGGGGATTCGGAAGCGAGAAGTGTCACGTTGGAGTTACAGAAAACCTTATTGCAACAAAGATAAATATCATGTATCTAGTGTAACTATTCATGAAGCGATACCAGTTATACTTGTTTTATGTTTTGGCATCATTTTATCAGCTGTTATTTGTTTCATCGAAAATGTAGTTTTCCGCAAATTAAGCACAAAACAGGAACAAGTAAAAAAATCTGAAAGTCGATTAAAAAAACGTAATCAGAAAAATATTGTACCAAGGATTAAAACTACGGTAAAGACAAAAATATCTGTTCGTGTAACTAACAAAAAAAAATTTTTTTCTAATAAATAAAAATTTTCATTAGAAAATAAATGAATTATGTTACTCCTTTACCTTTGGTAGAAGAAGTTATGTGAGTTACAATTTTATAACTTTTTACCCGATGTACAAATTAATTTTATTAAATAAACTATATGGATTACATTACTTAAATGTGAAAATACTATGTGGTATTATTCCGAAGTGCGTACGTTGCAATAAGAAATGTATAATGACTTTTTATTATATGAAACCTCCATAGATTTTAATGATGTGAAATGTATACATGTTGATTAGCAATTTGCTTATTTCTTTTTCTTCGATTTTTTGTCAGTCGGAGCTGCAGCTGTTCCAGTGAGATCTCCTAATTGTTTTTTGAGTTTCAATAATTTTTCTACTTCTGGTTGCCATACAGATCTTTCTTCTTTAGCTTTCAATTGACGTACAAGATCGCCCTAAAAGTAGAAACATCAATTGCACAAAAAAAAAGAATAATTGAAAAACTGAACATTTAATAAGTCCATAAATATAATATTTTATTGTACCTGTTTAGCGATGGCCGCTTCCAAACTTGCTACGTCTATTGCAACATCTCCATTTTGTTCAGGTACCGAAACCGTTTCAGGTTTTTTACTTTTCGATTCAGGGGATTTATTTTTTTCATTTATGAGATCAGGCAGCTTTTTTTTCAAAGCTGAGAAAATTTGAATTTGACTGGATGGCCATCCACTTTTATCGAACTTGGCCTTTAGTTTTTTAACTTTATTGTCCTAAAAATAAAGAAATGTATAACATATGTGACTAATGCATTAAATTTAGCAAAATTGCTTAAAAAATTCACCAACCAATTCTGTAATTGCACTATCCAATGATTTTACATCTCCGCTACTGCTACTTGTAGTTTCTTGCTTACCAGCATACTTTCTTCTTAATATTTCTACATCTTTATCCTCTATTTTTTTAAATAGCGGAGATGGTTTACTAATTTTATGTCCCGTGGGAAGTATGCTTGTGATAACGTCAGGTATATAGCCATAGTTATTGGTTTGCAATCCTAACTGGGATCTTAATTCGCGGGCGGTGCATGGCATGAATGGAGCCAAAAGGGCTGATAAAAGACATGCCAAGTTACAGCAAATACCGATGATCGTTCCAGCTCTTTTTCTACAAACAATAGAAAAAAGCACAAAATTACGCTATGTTTAAACTAAAAATAATGACGCCACTTAGTTCTATTAAGCGAGTGTTATTCATAAGTACTGTAACAGACCTGTACAACATAATTTAATATATGAAAGTTGATTAACAGTCACAGTCAATTAACAGGACTTACTTTACAGCATAAAATTAAGTCATGTAACAGCAACATAAATCATGTAATCCTCACTGAACAAGGGTACCTAGGAAATAAAGATATTCTAATCTCTAATATAATAAATTATTTTACATGATATGAATTCCCACTAATTGAAACGAAAGTAATAGAATAAAATGGGGACAGCATGCAACAACATCTAAAGATTTAATGGCTTAAATATACAAAATATTTGTATGAAAACATGTAAAGGCCTACAGTACACTTACGAACGGCATAATCTCATTATGTAATTAAAACGGACATAGCACTTACTTATCATTATCTGTTCCTTTAATTTTCACCCATGGCTCTTGGAATTGCATGTATTGATTTCCATGTTTTGAAATTGCTAAAACGTTTTTCAAACCATCACGTAATTTAGCTTGTTCCAAAGCATGTATATAAGATGATAATTCACGCTGAGCTAATGCCAGTAATATTAAGTCATCTTCCTGAAGTTCTATCGGCGGTATCTTAGAATCAAAGTATTTTTCCGCAAATACTAGAGCCCTATTTATTAAAAGTAGTTTTTGAAAACATTACTAGAAATAAAAATCAGAATTCATACCGTTTACCATAAAAAAACAAATACCTATTAACAAAATTTCCAAAATTGTTTAATAATTCACTATTATTTTTAGTCGCTAAATCCACCCAATTAAAATTCGAATCTTGCGTTTCGGGTCTAACATATGCAAGATAAAATCGCCAAACATCAGCCGGTATACCTGTATCCCTAGCATCAGTTCCAAATACTCCGATACCTCTCGATTTAGAAAACTTTGTATCTTCATAATTGAGGTATTCTAGAACCAGGTTAAATCATTAATAATTAATTGTTTATATAGAAAAGTACTTAACAATACATAGTTCTTTTGTCTTTAATATATTAAATGTATACCTGTTGCCATTAAATGCTTCATCAATGTATAACCTTCATTAGCTGCTAATAAATAAGCAGGGAACATAATTGCGTGAAATGGAACATTGTCCTTTGCCATAAATTGGTATAGATCAACTTGTACATCTGTAGGCTTCCACCATTGTTGGTATTCCTTCGTATATCTTTTTGTAATACTGATATAACCAAAAGGAGCGTCGAACCAAACGTAAAATACTTTATTTTCAAAACCTTTTATTGGAACAGGTATTCCCCATTTTAAATCTCTTGTTATACATCGTGGTTTAAGTCCATCACGTAGCCACGGTTTTGCAACCACTTTTGCAACGCTTGACCATCCCTTTTCTACTGTTGAGGACCACTCTTTTAACTTGTTTTCTAACTGCAAAGTAATATTTTCTTCATTGAAATATGATATACTTATAATAAATAATGTCATAGGTATCATAAACAAATTCTTACCTTCGGTAAATCTAAGAAGAATTGTTGCGACTTTTTAACAATAGGTCTATTACTACATACTTTACATCGCGGAGATATAAGATCCGTTGCATTCACCAAATGACCGCATCCATCACACTGATCGCCACGTGCATCTTCATATTTACACCTTGGACAAGTTCCTTCTACAAATCTATCGGCCAAGAACCTATCACAGGACTCGCACAGAAGCTGATCTACAGTTTCACTTAATACATATCCTTCTGATTTAATTTTTAAGAAAAATGATTGTACAATTCTGGAATATAAAATATTATATTAGTTAATAGCTAAATAAATTGTATTTTAAATCAATTAAGCAGCTAATACGAATTTCATCTTACTCTGTTTGTTCTGGTGTAGTAGTACGACCAAAATAGTCAAACCCAATATTAAACCATCGATAAACATCATTATGTATGTCAAAAAATTTATCACAAATATTTTGGGGTGTCGTTTTCTCTTCCAAAGCTTTAGCTTCTGTAGCAGTACCATATTCGTCAGTACCACTAAAAATTTGTGTCATTTTTATTATAACTGATTATTTAATTTTTATATTATATCATGTGGAAAAGGTGGTACATACCTAATAAAAAGGGTATTATAGTTTCTTTGTCTGCAATATCTGTAAAGAAGAAAGTTATTTAAAAATATGTACATTTGTATGATACTATTATAAGACCTACTTATTATGAAACACACCGGGCAAAAATATCAGCAGAAAGAACACAACCAATAATATTTCCTAAATGAGGAACATTGTTGACATAAGGTAATGCTGATGTTATTAAAATATTTTTTTCTCCTTTTTTTGGCAATCTAAAAATTATGGATAAATTTATATTAATTGCGTAAATATTATTTCTTTTAAGATAAAATCATTTATATGTACATTCAAACTTACACAGGATAAGGAAAGTTTTTTACATCAGGATATGATTTAGAAGACCAATTGCTTGAAATATTTTGTATTTCTTCCTGATTAACTGCTTCCATTTCTTTTTCTTTAGTTGGACTAAGCTGCAACTAATAGTTGATATCAGATGTAGAAAAATATAAAGTATATACATATTAATAGCAAACTTACATCAGCTGGTTTAGGAGGTTTAGGATTTGAATTAGTATTAACAGGAAACCAAGATACAGCTTGAATACTGAAAATTGCTTTTGAGCCCCTTTCAAATTTGTATTCTTCAATGGAATCCTAGAACAATCAAATATACAAATATTATTAACTTTGACATTAACATCAATATAAAATATAAAATTAATGATAAAAGACCTGTATAACTGGCAGCAATTCAATACTGGATATCCAATTTTTAATTGATAAATATTCTTTATTTAATTCATTTCCAATTTCTGTGACCATTACTGTAGACCATAGAGTTACCCAAATACATATATCTGCCAATGATAAGTCATTATTATCCTAAAATAATTTCAATAAAACTTTAATTTTGTAACAATAATTTGACTAATATCGCACTAATGCTATTTTATTATGAATTACCTTAATTAAGTACTGTTTGTCTTCTAACGCATTATTAAGTTCTCTTAATAAGGACCATAAACATGACTTTTGTGTGGTTTTGTAAATTCCTGTATTACCATAAAATGCTATAGCTGGCTGTAAAGTGTATGATGTTTATAATATTCTATTAATTTATATTATTATATACATAAACACTCATAATTAATTTATTATTCTTTACCTGTAACCGAGATATTTCCCATTCCAACCATTTATTATTAAGGAGTTTTGACTCTTGAGATGAAGAAGGTACTATGAGCTGCATTGCTGCATTAGTACTAAATAGTACTAACCCAGATGAAAGTTCAATAGAAGGTAAACGGCTCAAAAAGCCAACTATACATAAAATAAGAAGACTCACTTTATATTAACTGATATACTGAAATGACTTAAAAATCATAATAAACCTCTGGTTTAAGTGGTCAATTTAAATTATATTTTTTCATTGAATATATGATTTATAATATCAAAAGCCATTTTCTGGTGTCATGTAATGATTATTGAATGAACAATCATCGAATAACAAAATATACCTACTTTAATAGACAGATGTTATTCCAAATGGAAATCAAAATATTTTATCACTCTAATTTCAAGGATAGCAAGATAACGATATGGAAACATAAATGATATGATAAATATATATATATTAAACTCTGCTAATTAAAAATTCTACATTGTTTAAAGAATTTGTAAAAGGTCAATGAATTTTAAAATGATGAAAGCAACCTACAAGTGAAACAAACATATGGTATTTCATCATATGAT